TATATACTTTGGAAAATTCTTCAATGAAAGCAAGCAATTACGTTCACAATATTTTAGCAAAATGACCTAGGTGTATACGGTATACACCTAAGTACTCCGTATAAGTTTTCTCATAATCTTTAGTGAGAATACATCATGACCTTGTTCCAGACCTATCACAAGTTTCAATATTCATTAAAATTAATTAAAAATAACTTTAACTTTATTGCATTAAAATCTGTGTTAACTGTGTAAAATGTAAAACACAATTATGTTAGAACTTAGAATCAAGTGTTACTAATCGAGCTTGCTACAAATTTTACTTGATTGAGACTCATTGTATGGCAGAGTAAATTTCAGCAGAGTAGAGCAGTGCTTCTAAGAGCAAGTTTAGCCCCAAGTGGGGTGACATCATCATTTCAAGTCTTAAGACTTATGCTTAAGACTTTTCCCATGTTTTTTCAAAAATCTCAAGCAAGTCTCAAGTTGTGTTTTGAAATTTCAAGACTCAACTGAAGACTTGAGATTGGGACCCACTATTCCCACCTCACTTTTATTTTTATTATCCTTTTTTTTTCTTACACTTTTCTACATGTTATATGTCAAATATTTAAGTCTTAGGGCTAAAGTGATAAATATGTATAAGTCTTAGTGAGTCTTGACAAGAATTTGATGACATCATTTTCAATGGGGACCACCAAAAATGATGTCACATTCAAGTCTTAAGACTTGGGGCTAAACTTGCTCTAACACGCTTCAAAGCAAAATAGAGCAGAACAAATTCAGCAGGGCAGAGTAGAGTAGAGCAGAGTAGAGCAAAGCAAAGTAGAACAACTCAAAAGAATAGGGCCTTAACAATCTAGCATCTTAGTATTGCTACACAAATTGAAAAGTCGGACCCCTTAACTTAGAGAAAATGCGAGTTTATCACCTTGATAAACAAATTTTGTTTTTTTTTTATCAAATGACAAAACTGTAAATAAGTCAACAACTTTTTAGTAAATAGAGGACTCACAGTTGTTAATAATATTACGAAAATGTCATGTTGAATGGACATTTTTGCTAATATATTTACGATTTTGCTATTTGATTAACGAATCTTGTTTATCAAAGCGATAAACTGATACCCTCCTAAGAGCACTCTCACTCATGGTCAAAAATATGCCCATGAGGAGAAATTCAAGGTAAAAACCCAAAAACATGTATCCCATTCATGGGCAAAAAACATAAATGCCCATGAGGAAAATCAGAAATGTCCAAGGCCATGACATTTTTGTAATGCTACAGTAACTTGTGTATCCACTAATTAAATATAAAAATAGCTATTTTGACCAAATTAACATATTTAAAAAACAAAAATAAAAATTATCAATGTTCATAATTTATTTTTATCTATAAGTAGACACCCATTTTGTTATATTTTTGTGCACTTCGAAAAATCACATTTTTCTACTTAATTTGTTATTATTAAAAATTTTACTTTTGCTGTGAGTTTATTTTAGCCCATGAGTGTGTGAGGACTTGTACAAAAAAAAAACGCCCATGAAAAAAGTTGGAAAAGAAGAGTGAGAAAGTGGGTAGAGAGAGAATGTCATTTTATTTTTTTGACCATGAGTGAGAGTGGTCTAAAGTCTAAACTTAGCAACTCAGAAATAAGTAACGGGTTACTTATTTTGGATTCACCACTAAATTAAAACTACTGGTATAACAACAAGAAGCATAATGAATGAAATGGATGCCACTTGTGGTAATAATACGAAACTGATTCACACCACCAGGAAATATATGTACCAGTTGTTCAATGGTCAGATCAATGTATATATGCATGTATTATTATTACGCATGAAATTAACACCTTTTTTTTATGACCAGAAAAATAATTTAAATAATTATAACAGGATGCTGAGAACTTGGCTAGGTAGAATCTTTGGAAAAATGATATCGTGACTCGTGAGCTGTGAAATTGTGAATGTAGCTTACTACTATTGCTTTCAGTCTGTCACATTCTCAAGCCATGTCATTTTTTCTTTTGAAATCTTCACTCTTAATTCAGATTTTCTTTTTATTTTTTCTCAACAATTTTAAGATACTTTCTCTACTTTATTTAGCTACGTAGATTTATGTTTTTCATGCTTGTCATTCAATGATAACTAGTCACTTTAGCATTCTCATAAAAATTAAAAAAGAAAGAAAAATCCTCTAATTTACAAATAAAAATTTTAAAAAATAAATAAATAACATTTAGAAAATATGTTTTAAAATGAATTAAATGAAATCCCACTAGCGGCGCCTTTTTGGTGCAGCAGGCTACACCATGTGGCCTGTTGCCATGTCAGCCAAAATAATGAAGTGGACGCGCTGAACTAAATGACTTTAATAGAATTTAACGAAGCATCACTCTAACACATACACGCACTCACTCTCACATATAAAAGCAATGACACACTTCCCAAAAGCAATAAAACTGGAAATGGAAATCAACAAATTGCAAGGTAATTTTATCAAAATTTCTATTTATACTGTTTAGTATGTATTTCATCATTAAAATTTACAAGTAACCCCAAAAAACTAGCAACCCTAAAATTTACAAGTAACCCTGTAAAACTAACAAGTAACCCCTATAAAAATAACAACTATCCTTTTAAACTAACAAGTAACCCCTAAAAATAATGAGTAACCCCTGTAAAACTAATAACTAACTCCTGTAAAATTAACAAGTAACTCCTGTTAAACTAACAAGTAACCCCTAAAATAAACAAGTAACCCTAACAAAAAATAACAAATAACTCCTATAAAATTAACAAGTAACCCTTGTTAATCTAACAAGTAACCCCTAAAGTAAACAAGTAACCCTAACAAAAATTAACAAGTAACCCCTAAAATAAACAACTAACCCTAACAAAAATTAACAAGTAACCCCTATAAAATTAACAAGTAACCCCTGTTAAACTAACAAGTAACCCCTAAAATAAACAAGTAACCCTAACAAAAATTAACAAGTAACCCCTAAAATAAACAAGTAACCCCTGTTAAACTAACAAGTAACCCTAACAAAAATTAACAAGTAACCCCTATTAAACTAACAAGTAACCCCTAAAATAAACAAGTAACTCCTGTAAACCTAACAAGTAACCCTTGTAAAACCAACAAGTAACCCCTATAAAACTAATAAGTAATACCTGAAACCTAACAAAAATTAACAAGTAACCCCTCTAACTTAACAAGCAAATTCTGTAAAACTAACAAGTAACTCCTAATAAATTAGGAGTAACAAGTAACCCCCTAAATCTTTACAAGTAACCACTTCTAAAACCAACAATTAACCCCTATAACACTAAAAAGTAACCCTATAAAACCAACGAGTAACCCCTAAAACAAGTACACTGCAATTTTTTAAAGTAATCCCTACATAATGAACAAAGTAACTATGTTGTATCTTCTACATTAGCAAGCTCCTCCAACATCTTCTTAGCAGCCTCTATTTCATCTGCCTTTTGTTTCTTTTCATTCTCTAGTAATTCTTCATAAATTGCTTGATTTCTACTCACGAATTCTTTCACATCATCCAAAACAATCTCACGATGCTTGTTCAAATTGCAGAGCATAGATGACAGGAAATTCGAAAAATTACTAAAATTAGGGTTTGATTTATATCAGAAGTAGGAGAGTTCAGCGTATATGTTGATCCTTTCCTTCCCTTGGGGAAGATTATCTTGATTTTAGTCATTATCAACGAAAAGAACAATTTAGAGGAGAGAGAATCAAGGAAATTAACAATGAAAGAAACTGAGAACAAGGAGAGAGAAAGAAAATTAAATGTGAAGAGCAGAGAAGAAATGAAGGAGAAAGAAGTGAATAGAAAAGACTGGAAGTTTTTTTTAAAAAAATTGATGAAGCGCCTTACGCTGTTAATGGCTCATTGACGGAGTCCGTTACATGTATGGGCTACGCGCGTTTGGGCCTTATGTATTGTGGCTGGCCACATGGTGTGGCAAGCCATATATAAAAGTTTGTGTTTTTAAATGAAATCCCACTAGACTTCTTTAAAAAAAAAAGCAATAAAATCCCACTAGACTATGTTTTTTTATTAGTAGTTTTGTTTGTGGCAAAACACATTGTATGACCACATTTGTTCATAAGAGTAATCCTTATATATTATCTAAAAAACTTCACTTATTGATGAGAGCATTCTATTTGTCCATAAGTATAACCTCAATTCATTATACAAGTAATGATATTCTGAAATTGTTTTAGTGAGTTGAGATTAATTTTTACTGATTCTCTATTATTATATTTCTTTTTTTTTTTTAAATTTTTTTTATCGATTTTTACGAAATTGAAATTATTTTTAATAAGCAAAGATTTTATTTTTATTTTTATTTTTATTAAATGAAATTGTTTTTACTGTATTATTTTTTTTAGGGTGAAGAAAACAAAGCCTAACTTCAATTAATTAAAAAAAAAAAATCTTTTGTTGTAATATTAAAAGAATAATTCCACTTGCAACCCTATTGAAACTTTAACGAGTGCTTATAACTATTAAAAGAATAATTCCACTTGCAACCGTTAGGGACACATATAAGCATTAAATTTACACTTGAAATCGTTAGAAGTTAAGAAATCATAATAATATAAACACTAATTACACTAATTTACGAGTGTTTTTGTTATGAATTCCTAATTTTATACAATTTCCAAAAGTGTATTTAGTGCTTATATAGACATATAGTTATATATAGCCCTTAGGGCTATACATATATCATTACTCATATTCTTATGCATAAAGCATGAACATTCGTCGAAGTAGTATATATAAGTAGTGCATAGGTCAAACTGAAACACTTTAAAAAAACGACGGTTCTCATCTTATCTTATTGGACATTATTATATGGTCTTGTTAGACTGTATTGAAACTTATAGACCCTTGTCTTATCACATCTGAAAATATCACTTTTAACTAATCAAACTTGAGAGATGAAAATAAGGTGAGGAGAACAAAACCTAGTCTTTTAAATCTTGAATAAAAGCTACTTCATAATTTCATATATTGATCTCGGGATTTTAAGATTACAACACAACTTGAAAATTTTCATCTAGAAAAAATGGCAGTAAGGCATACAAAAAAATTTCTAAGAGAGCCTCTGATGTAACTTAATCAAGGCGGTATACCTTGGCAGTTGGCTCAAAAACCTAACCTGAAGCTAATAACAAAACTACATGAAATACACAGGAGTTCAAATAAATGGAAAGCTCTTCTGTTCTGCCTCCCTCACATATCATTTTCAAGAATATCCCTCATCATCTGTATAGGAATGAGGCCTTCTGTTCTAATCGCGTCTTTATTTGGGTCTGGGCTGATGAAATACAATGTCGGAAGACCCCGTACCTGCAATGGATTTACCAGACCTTTACAGAGTGAACTTATATGCTATAGAACCACAGATTGAAATGCAAAAGCACATGCTTCATGAAACAATTGCATGATCTCTCAAAATGTAAATCTATAAAGACTACACTTGATTTTTGATTATTTACTTGTTTTCAGACAACTAATAACTGTATCATAAGTTCACAACGTGAGTTATACAACCTCATTGGATGACAGGGTTCAAAGAAAAGCAAAGGGGAGGAGAATGATGGATCAATATTCCTTTCTTTGACTACAAATGGGTTGAAGGCAGGGGAGGATCTTCATGGAGCTTCATAGGGACCTAGCCCCTGGTAATATTATTATTTATTTATTTATTATTATTTTTTTTAACCTATTAGCTATTAAGAATTTATTTCCTTACATATAAATAAAAAATGTTGTCACAATGGTTAGGTATAAGTTTTATTTTACTAGAAGATGAGGGTTTGAATCTAATTAAGAGCCTGATTTCCTTTTCTTTCTAATCAAAAAGCTAAATCCCTCTAAAGTTGGAAAGTTCTAGACTTTTGGAACGGAAAACATAAATTATGGCTGCATTACTTATTGGTAATATGCTAATATCCAAAGTTCAAAGAATTCAATTTTCTTAAGGCTCATGATTCAAGTGCTGAGATCAGTTATATGAGGCAATGAGCTTCTATTTTGATGAACAGATTCATCAGAAGTAATGGAGTTCTTACTACTGTAACCAGGGATGAACTTGTGTGGGGTGGATTGAGTATCCTTATAAGCTTTTTGACATGGTTAGCTATGCTCCAGAGCCTGCAGTCCAGACAGAAATTAGCAAAACTGAAACTTGAGAATAGGTGTAGTACTGACTGCATGACTCTTTGATCTGTGGCGCAGCAGTTGAATCTCATCAAAAGCTTTCCTATAACCGTATAAGTAAAGCACAGAACGTCTGGAGGATATCAAGGATTTGATTAGAATAAGAGGCAAGCAAACAGTTTTGCCTGCCTTGATAAACCAGATCAGTAGAATAAGCAGGGCCTCAAAATTTCAGAAGGGGGTGTATCATGCACCTTGGTGCTATGGAAACTGTAGTCTACTTTGTGTGAAGAGACATTTTCTCGAAAATTAAAGGATAAGGACTGTAAAGGATACTCTGAAGGATAGGAGTAGATTTAAGTCTTTGTAAATGTGATAGAATTTCTTCTTTTTTAAAGTGGCTTTACGCCTTAATGTTCTTTTCTTTCCTATGTAAGGGATCTAATCTAGTTAGTTGGTCATACTTGGAAAGACTAAGGCTTTGTTCTCCTCAGCTTAAATTTGCTGAACTTAACTTATATTTGTTGATAACATACTGATGAATGTAACTTATTGCTGAACTTTTTACTAGGCTCATTTTCTTGCTAAACTTGAATTGTTTTTGCTAAAGTTCCACTTATTTTTGCTGCACTCCATTTCTTTATTGAAACTTGTTTGAATAAGTTGAAAAATAAAATTACACTTATTAAAACTAAAGGTAAAGAATCAATGCAGAAATTTCGATCAGAATCATTGTGATTTGCGTAGCTTAGGGTGCAACATATGACAGATAACTAGGCATCATGCGCAGCTTAGGATGCAATATATGACAGATAACTAGGCATCATGTGATTTTTCTAGCATTGGTTTGTTCAGCTACTCTTATGGAGCTGTGGAAGTCTCAGTTAGTTTTAATAATATACTATGGGGGTAGCCGTACATTCACCTCTTTTCAGCTGTTGCTCCAACTATCCGATTAACCCAGCCCTACCAAACATGTATCCAACAGACTGACACCTTGATTAGAAATGGATACTCGACTATAATCCTTGTAAACTGAAGGAGACCCAGAGAAGCTTGATAGATTCGTGTCAGATACAAGTAACCAGTTCAACAATTTCTAAGAGTTTGAGCAACATAGAATTTTAGTAATTGTTCATAACAATGCATATAATTCAGTCACACTACTGTTATGAACATGAAAAATAAATTTTCAGGTCAAATGCATATGCACAATGACATCAACATTGACATCAACATTTACTTTAAGCTTCAATATCAAATTCATTCAACACAGCCATAATCTACGGTGTAATGGATAAGCTTGTGTTAAAGACTAAAAAGCACCAATGTAATGATATAATCTAGTACAATTACCAGCATGTCGCGAGCAAATTCATACTCGTCATCAGTGTCGACCTTTACAATCATTGCTTTACCTTCATACTCAACAGCTAGCTGAAAACAAAGAAACACCAAGCTTACATACAAATTATAATAATTAACCCAACATAAGTGTCAACTAATGACAAGTATTTCCACAATCAACCTTTTTCTTCCTAGTGAAAAACATAGAAGGTGCATTGTTCTACTGACAAATTGAACAGCATATTCAGCAAGAAAAAGGTGATACACCAAATTTATTTCTCACAGGACTAATTGATTAATCTTGAAATCATCAGAAACAAGCAAAAATAGCACAACATATGAAAAGTCTTAAGCAATCCATTAGAAAATCAATTAAGTTACTCAAATTAAAACCATCATATATGATCACAAACTAGTGTAGTGTTACCTAATTTGCCAATCACCCCTCCAACTACGATATAAAACATACAAATTGGTATAGTGTAACACGTTTAGACAAATTAGGTAGCGAATTACATTCACGTAACACTATAGGACTAGTATAACAAAATTAGGTAGTGAATTGCATTCATGTAACACTTCAGGACTAGTGTAACATAATTAGGTAGCGAATTGCGTACACGTACCACAAAACCATGAAAACATGTAAACTAAAAACACACAAAAACAATATCAATAAACAGAATCTCACCATTTCAAGCTCTTGAGCCATCAAAATACAAGGGCCACACCATGTTGCATAAAAATCAATAATTAGGGGCACATCTCTTTCCCCTCTAACAAGCTCTTGAATCTCTTGAGCTGAAAACTTTTTCTGCAATTCAATCCCAAAAAAGATTTCAAATTGAACAAAACACAAACATAATCAAACATTTAATGCAAATGGGTATTTCTCAAATGGATGAAAATTACATAAAAATCAATAAAATTGAAGAATTAATTCATTTTTTAAAAAGGTGTTTTTGAAAAAATGAAATTACCACAAGATAATCTTCTCGAACATGTTTGCCAAAAGGGGGTTTACAGAGCAATTTTCGAGGGGGTAATAATGTAGGAGTTGAAAGAGAAGAGGGTAAATTAAGGGAGTTTGGGAAGTTTAAGGTTGTTGTTGTTGGTTTTAAGGAGGAATTAAGGTGAAATGGTGGAGAAAAGAGGAACAAATTTGAGGCAGCTGAGCTGATGCTACGAGGTACTGTCGGAATTTGCATAGCAATTGTCTTTGCAAGTTTAGAACTGATACTAACTGAGAAGGAGGGAGTGGATAGCGTTTTGTAAGTGTTGGTCTTGCAAAAGAAGAGTTTAAATTCTACCCTTTTTTTTAAAAAATAAAAAGTACAGAAGACTTTGTTCTATTGCCACTCCGTTTTTAAGGGTTTAGGGAGTTCTTAAACGGGGTTTTAAGTGTTTAGGATGTTTAAGGATTTTAATGAGGCGATGCGTTTGTGAACCAATTGTGAGCAAATATAATCAATTTTGTTCATAAGCAAACAAGCTTGATAAAAAATTTTCAAGTCAGCCTAACTCGAACTTAGTACTTGACTCACTTAGCCTCGCGGGCAGCTCATTCATGTTCATTTATAAGCTCGTCCAAGCTTGAATTTTGAAGATAAAATTTATTACTATTACATTTTAAGATATGAATTATGTTTGTAAGAAGTTTATATACTCGTAGTAACTCGACTCAAGCTTGACCCGGATCAAACAAACTACAAAAGCTAAGCTAAAAACACAAATTTTCTTATATGAGCCAAGCTCGAACAAGCAAAAATTAAGTTTGGTTGAGCTTGTTCGAGCTTGGCTCAAGCTCATGTATTTCTTATTAAGCCTACCTTAAACAAGCTAATTAATACTCGGCTCGATTTTGCACAATTACATTGTGTTATTAGGGTATGGAGGTTGAAGTTTGTTGGAGAATTTGTATAAAATGCTAAAGGGGAGAGGATGGGAGGGTTAAAGACTTAAAGGGAAAGATATAGATTTTTTTTAAAAAAACAAATGAATATAACTAATGCATCTAACTTGGTGCATTTTAAAGTATAACAAAGGAATATAACAATTGTAGAAAGAGTTGGTTAAGAACTATTGACTGTAACCCATAGCAGTTACAGTCAGGAGATGCTCGCCTTTGGAATTAAGATGGATGAAGAGGCACTTGAGCCTGGAAGTGATGAAATTCGGGGAAAACATGAAAGCGGTCACTATACTAGAGGAGGGCAAGACATGACCGCGACTTAAGATTCAAGTACCATGTACCTTTTCATCCAACTTGTTAAACACAATCTAAAAGTTACAAGTGGAAATTCCAAATATTTAATAACATCGAATGAGTCAATTTTGATATTCTCACTTGATACCGACCACTTCAGCCGCATATAAAAAAAATTAATGCTTATTCGGCCTAATGACATTCACGTCAATATTATTATTATGCAGTTTTTCATTGTCCTTCATTTATTTATAACATATTTTATTTGTGGGGGTGGGGTTAGGAATCCTAAGATGCGCGGAAGATAAAATTAAATTAAAATAAAATTCGAGAAGTCATTGGTGAGTATTTGCGAACCTTATTCAACAAGGTTATCTATTATTCTCCTAAATTTGCTAAGGATTCAACAATGGTAAGTTTCCCTTACTTTCCCAGCCCACTAAAAATCCCCCGAGCAAATTACTAAAAGAGGTTGTACCATGTGCATGATACAATCAGTTTTACCATGAATGATCCGCCACTTCCCCAATCCAATATACTTACACATTACCAATAAGGTATTTAACTTCTTCCAATCCTTAAAGAAGAATCAACACTTTTCCCAGTAGTTGAGGCAAAAAGCCTAGCAATTTCTAGCTGGGTATTTGCAATAATCTCTGTTCTTTTAAGATCCATTTCCCCTCTCTTAGCTTCTGCTTCCACTCTCATTCTTTCTAACTCCCTCATGGTGTCCATCCTCACTTGCTCAGATCGCACCACGGCTTCTCCCAGCCACCGGATGCTCTCTGATACATCTTCCCAACTACTATTTTCTTCTCTCCTACGCTTCTTCCTCTTCATCTTCATCGACTTCTTCAACTTCGGTCCATTTTTGTCATCACTATAAAGAGCAGGAGTGCTGCTGTCAGTTTCTATGTGATCATCATCATTATGGTTTTTGTCTGAGATTTGGTCAGAAACTTTTGCTGCTACTTCGTCACAATCCTGTTACACAAGATATAAATAATTAGAAATAACAGATAATCTAATATAGCTTTCAGCATTGATGCCCTTTCTAGTCATTAACAAATATTGTTCAAATCTTACAGAATAATCCATCCATCTAATATATGAAAATCTTTAATTCTCCAACTTTCAGCTAGCATAAGCTCCAAACATCTACTGATATCCAACTTATCTTGCTTGCAGACAGAATTCCGACACCTTTCCAATGTAAAATACGAAAAACTGCCTGCATGAGCCTGCTGTTGCTGTTAAAGTTCAATGCAGAAACTTTCACAATTTGCAGTTTATACCCTGCTTCTGTAATGTTGTGGGATAACGAATTTAATAATATTCTGTCAAGTTTTAGTCTTGTCTAACGAAGGTAACTTATCCTTCGCTCTCAGTAATTACAAGGGATGAGCCCTCCAAACCAACTTCGTCATAGGTGGAAGCCTCAACTGTCAACAGGTAGATTTTAACAAAACTAACTACATTGCCTAGTAAAGTTGTACTAGCAGAAGCTACCCATTATACTACAAGTCAATTAATTTTGGCCAAAAGTTGATCTAGGATTGTATCTAAAATGAAATTAGATAACGTACTCTTCCTTTGTGTGGCTAATTTATTGTGGCTTCGGGTTTTGACTTCAACTGTTCCAAACATACATGATTATAAAAAATGACGCAAAAAGGAGTCCGAATACAGTCTAGTTAAACAATACTCTATATTATCTATTGCATATAGAGGAAAACTAGTTCACAAAAAAATTTATACAGATTAGAAAAATACTATCATTTTCATCATTTACTTTCCTGGGCTCAATCTATGACTCATGGTGGGTGAGAAGTCTTTATCAGAAGAGGGAAATAGCAGGCAATTTCAATACTCCAATGTGACAAGAAGCAGACAGAAGACAAAAAATGACAAAAAACATGCATATAAACAAAAAGAGATGAGTTAGCTCAATTAATTGAGTTGGTCATAATTCAGTGTCTTAGTTCTACTAACCTTAGCCATGGGCTCCGCACCATTGGACTCCTGAGAGTTTTGTGCAATCTCTACGGGTGGAGGTGCTTGTTGAGGTGGCACAGGGAGTGGCAGTGGTAGTGGAGGCAACTGTAGTGCAACAGGACTTGACTCCAATACCAAACCCGGATTACTCGCCACAGCAGTGGCCTTCATAGGTGATGAATGAGCTGATGATAGTCCAGTACTTCCCCCAGTCCCGCGCAGCAGGTTATCAAGTCTCGAAAAAAGTGGCCATGATGAAGAGTCAGCAGTGGCAGACTCTGATCTATACCTCTTTTTCATGGACTCAATCTTATTCTTGCATTGAGTTTGTGTCTTAGGTGACTTTGTGTTATTGGCACGAGAAGACACATGCTTGGCTACATCCTCCCAATCTTGCCCTTTAAGCTTAGCCCTGTTCCTAAGAATCCACTTTGATTCATAGGCTTCAAGCAAGCTAGAAACTGCCCCTTCGCTCCACTCGTCTCTCTTCAAACGATCACCACCACTACTGCCACCAACCAGCAGTGGTTTCCGGGGAGACTGTTCGAGTTTAGTGGGTGAGGGGTTTTGATCATCTTGATTGGTTTCCTTCTCCATAAGCTCATTCCCCCTCCCACTCTCCCCGCTATCTATTGTTAAGGGTAGATTTGAATCACAATTACTATGTGGGGCTATCTACTCTTTTGGCTGCTAAAGATGCCCATATAGAACCATAAGAAAAGTTTATATGACTTATGCTAACACTTAGAGGTTAGAAAGGTACTAGTTTTTAGTGGGCTAAATGCCAAAATTAAAATTCATGAAGTAAAGATAGAGAACCACTAGCATTATTAGTATAAAAACATAATGGCTAGTACATAGTATGCTACTATAGGATATTGCAATGGTACTAGTGGACAACACACAATAAATTTTAAGAGGGGTGGGGGGTGGATGAATGTTAAGCATCTCCCTGAGACTCTGAGAGAGGGCAAATAAAGAAATTCCCGATTACAATCATACACTCTTTTAAAAAAGTTTAAAAGTGGACCGCGGTGTTATAAGGTGGTGGTGTTATACATGTACCACCATGAATAAAAGGAAATACGGTTTTTTTTTTCCTCGGACGCAAAAATACAATAATGTCCTTAGCTAGGATGGACAAAATTGGTGCATCCCAGGGAGATACTTATCATGCATTTGAAAGGAAATAGGGTACAAATTCACCACTAGCATTTGAGAAAAAAATAAAAAAGAAAAGAGAGAAAGGAAAGGGTAGTGGGCTAAGCAACTAAAACAAAGGATGCTATACTTTGTCAAATGTGCTAATCATGGAAATGTAACTTTAACTTTGTGGATTTTGGAGTAGGTATCTTTATTTCTTTTCCAAATTTCGGTTGGGAGTTTTTTAAAATAGTATTAAGAGGGGGGGTGGTGATTTAATTTAGGGAATGCCACATACACTTTGGCAGTTAGCGTTGATATGAAGCCAATAAGGATGCCATGAACGGTAGTGGTCAATTCACGTGGTACTGTCACCCACTTAAATTCCTCTAAATTAATCCCATATTTTTTCATTCACCAGTCACCACCACTCAATACTTTTTTTTTCCACATCGGTTTAATCATACATTAATTAATCATACAAGAATTAATCACGGATAGTTCAAAAAAATACAACAATAAAACACAAACATAACCTTCGAGAAATCAAGTCATTCAAAACACATCAGCTTAATCATACATTAATCACAAATTAAAGAGTTCAAAAAAATACAACAACAAATGACAACATAAGATTTGAGAAATCAAGTCATTCAAAAGACTTACATATTCAACACCAACATACTTTTACCATTGAGAAAAAAAAAAAAAAAAGATTCTTCAACATTAGCAATGTAATTTAGCTACTACATTTATTGAGTTATCCTCACTTTGGTAAACTAACCATAAAAGGGGGGAAGGGGTGTTTAGGCATATGCATGTTAGTATAATTAATACACACATTATTACAGAAATGGGTCACTATGGTACTTTGGGTTCTCACATGAAAGTATCAAAGTCACCATTGCTACAAATATGTTTTCTTACTGTGCAAAAGAATCTTGGTACTTGGTAGAGTTCCATTCTAGGCATCCCTTGGTGCTATGGTGCGGTCTCCTCCTTTGATATGATTATGAAGTGTCCAAAGTCGTTTTCGTTATTTTGGTCGAATTTCGGAGTATCAAGTTGTTGAGGTGTTAAAAACTATAATCGG